AGCAAGTTCCAGGAGAGCCAGAGCTGTTGCACAGAGAAACCCTGCCTCAAAAAAAAAAAAAAAAAAAGAAAAAAAAAGGCTACTAAATCCTGTCTGTGCTCTAACGACGCCCACCCAAAAGGGACAAGGACAGTTGCTAGGGCTCTTGGCTATGGGTGGTTCTCTAGGCAGAATGCCAGAACATCTGATATGCTATCTACTGGGGCTTCTTGACCTGGGTAGTCCAGCTGGAAGGACAGTAAGAGGGACGGAACTGGAGGTAGTGTCCAAGGTCACGGGGAGGGCTGCCCTGGGTGGAGGTCCAATGCAGACACTGGAAAATGACAGTCACTGGAGCTCAAATGCTGGATGAGTCACTCGGGGGAAGTTGGGCTACGTTCAGCTGCCTTGAAAGAAAGCAAGGAAGTGTGACATGCACTGAAAGTGTTCTCACAAACCCGGTAAGGTTGAAAATGGGTGTGGGGAGACAGCCTGGGCTAGCTCCATTTTCAGGGTGCCGGGTGATGGAGAACAGAGCGTAGGCCTCAGGAGCAAAACTGGGTGTGGTGTATGTCCAGACTCAGTCACTCCTGTCTGTCCCGAGCCTCGGCTTCTTTTTCTATAAAACACTGTCACCTGTGTCACAATGTGGCCCTGAGTAAGGGAGGTGGCTGCAGAAGTGCGACAGTGCCTGGCTTACAGGAAGTACTCTACAATGCAAGAAAGTACTTCCCCTGTATGTCCTGTGGATTTGCTAATTCACAGTGCTCAGAGGGCCCAGACAGGCAGCATACCAACCCAGAACCTGCTCTAAAAGCACATGAAAGCTGCTAACTCCTAAACCTGTGTTCCACTCCTAAGCCTGTGTTCCAACTACCCCTACTCCGAGGGGACAATGACAGTGGCTAGGGCCTGAGGACCTGCCACTAATTCATAGGGTTTTTAATAATTCACAATTATTAGGGTTTACACTAGAACAGGATGAACATTTCTCTCTTAACACTAAGGTAAGTTTGGCTGAGACCTGTGCTAGACCTTTGACAAACAGCATCCAGAAAATTCCTTGCCAGAGCAAACTGGAGGCTTTGGGTCACCCTCTTATTTCACCATAAGAAGACATTGTGGGGTGTGGCTCTTAAAAAGTATCTTCTTCCAGGGGGCTAAAGGGGGAGGAGATTTGACATGGGGAGGAGCTAAGCTGGGAGAGGGTCTGGTAGCATAGGTGATGGCCATGGAGAGGCCATCTTAGAGCCTTCGAGTCCTCAGCCAAGTCCAGGGGTGGCTATGACGGTGGGTTTCCTTTGTGGAAACGGGCAGGGGTTAACTCGAGGGGAGAGGCTGTGGAATGAGGCAGATATAGAGGTGAAATTGAGACCTTGGGAAACTTTGAAATTTGCAGCAACCTTGGGTCTGCTATTATGTATAAGAGTGTCATATCTTATAGGGTCAAAGAAGGCATGTTTGAAATGAGGCTTGGGTTTTAGGGCTTGGAGGCCAATATCTGTTATAATTTTTGATTTATTTTATAGACATTAGGTATCACCATTGTGCCACCAGCTCCTTCTCTGGGAAGGAATATAGATGTAAAAAATGAAATGTCACTGCAGTTTGTGACCAGCCTCAAAGGCAACCCACTTTAATGAAAATATGAGTTGCTTTGAGGCTGGGAATCTAGGTCAGTGGTAGCATTCCTGGGTTCCCTTCCAGAACTACCATAAACACACACACACACATACATATCACATACACCACACACACACACCACACCATATACACACATACCACACACACTACACACACCACACACACACAAACATACACACATATTACACACACACCACACACACACATACCACACACACACCATATACATCACACACACATATAACACACATATACAGACACCACACACACACACAACACACATATACACACCACACACACACTCACAACACGCATATACACACCACACACACACATACCACACACATACCACACATATTCAGACAACACACATATACGCACCACATACACACATACCACACATATACAGACACCACACACACACACAGTGACGATTGCCACAGTGGGGAAGGAGGTAGGTGAGTCACATGGGTCACTCGCTGGGTCGTGTAGGGGAACTGGGAGAATGGCAGTTTGACCCATCCCCTCCTGCAGGATGCCGTGGGAGGGCTTGCAGGGACATGCCCACTCAGTTAACAATTGTGTCAGCGTTTCTTCAGAGTAGCTGGGTCTTCACTCCTTTCGTTTCCCCTCCTGTTCTCTGAGGCTGTGTGAAGCTGCCAGAAGAGCACGGCATCCATCATAGAGAGAGCTCTTGATTGTCACTCAAAGCAGTACCCAAGGTCCAGGGAGAATCTGACAGCACGTGACTGTCACAGACCCGGAGAAGTGCACGAGTAGCTACTGTTTTGCATATGATTTCACGGTATCAGCCACCACTTTGCTGGGTGGGGTCTTTGGTTCCAGATGACCTGAGCATCGTCAGCCAATGGGACCACAGCTGCTTAGCAGATGAGAGCAATCCCTCTTTATTTCCACAGTGTAGAAGCTTTGACTTTTTACCCACACTTCCCTAATTTGGTCATTCACAAACCACGGGGAGCATTAGAGGACCATGAAGGCCTTGTCAAACCCAGAGTGCAGGGCTTCAGCTCAGCAGACAGGACAAGGCAGGGTAATGGACATTTTAATAAATAGCCTGCTGATGTGGAAGCCACTGCTCTAGAGGACATGATGGCAAACGCTTGTCCAGGATCCTACCTCCATTTGTCGGCCCAGGCATCGATCTCAGAATCGAAAGAAAGATGGCTTGCATGAGCCTGGTCAGCTGCACTCTACTCTGAAGGCAAAGTAAGTTCTTTGCCTACTGTGAACTCATCCCATTTTGTGCTTAAATGTTCACCTAAGCATAGTAATGAGCTATTTGGCATGATACTGAAGCCCCAGAAGCTACAGAGAATGGAAATCCTGGGAATGAGAACATCCCTCGCTTGCTGAGAATGCTCTACCCTTTATCTAGATGCTTGAAGGATTCCTAGCCTAGATGGCAGATGGTCAGATTTCACCAATGCAAGATCATTGGCTGCTTTTTCTCTCTATTTCTTCCTTCCTTTTCTTTCTCCCTTCCTCCCTTTCTTTCCTTTCTCTCTTCCTTACTTTCCTTTCTTTCCTTCTATTTTTTGGATAAGGTCCTACTATATAACCCTTGCTAGTCTGGAATTCACTGCATAGACCTGGCTGGCCTCTAGACTCAGTTTTCTGCATGCTTATGCCTTCTGGGTGCTGGGATTAAAGGTGTGCAGACTCACGATGAGCATTGCCCACACTTTAGGAAAAATCCAAGAGTTAAAAATGATAATAATAACAAAAAACCTGGAGAGAGCCCATTTGTCCTTTGTGCAAAATCTTCCTCTAATCGATGGTTATTGCGCTGCCTACGGGACATTTCTGAGTTCATGTTGTCACTAGGCAGACTCCTGAGGCTGTTTGCAGCCAAGTCTTCCTCTAGAGCAGTGGTTCTCAACCTTCCTAATGCTGTGACAGTTCCTCATTTGTGGTGACCCCCAACCATAACATTATTTTCATTGCTACTTCATAACTGTAATTTTGCTACTGTTATGAATCATAATGTAAATATCTGTTTTCTGATGGTCTTAGGCAATCCCTGTGAGTGGATATGGAAGAGCTCGGCCCAGAGGCAGTGAACCCGGACTGAATTTCTTCTAGGGCGATGCTGCTCAAGTCACCGTACACACAAATCACAAAGACTCCGATTTGGGGGCCTAATGACAGGGCCCAGGTCTGCTGTCAGTAAGTTGCAGGGTGATGACAATGTTGATGTCTGTGACAGCTGGGCCCTTTGACCCACCGCCTCTTCAAAAGAAATCAGAGTGGACTCTTCAAACGGTCCTTCTGGAGTTGGAAAAGTGTGTGCTGTGCAAACATGGGGACCTGAGTTCCAGCACCTGTGCAAAAGCTGGGTGAGCAGCATACTGCCATCACTGAACTGTTGAGGCAGAGGCAGCCTGGTCCTTGGAGTTAATTGGTCAGCCCAGCCTAGAGCAACTGATACATTGCTGGTTCAGTGACAGATCCTGTCTCAGAAAGGTGGAGAGCCATTGAGGAGGCCACGTGACATAGATCCTTCTATGTACAGCAGCTTGTACATGGACCACATACAGGGGGTGGGGTATGGAGGGAGACAGAGATCATGCTTTTATAGACTGAGCCTAGGAGAGAGGTCTTTACTCTTTAACAGTGATGTAACTGGTGGGTCTCCTATGTGACTGTGGTTTTCAACTAGTCAGTGGTTTTAATGTTCTCTGTGATGTTGCTGTGGGGCTCAGAACTCAGTGAGTGTCCAGTATCAAGTGAAGGAATGCATTCGGCTGCTCTTCTCTGCAGCTGATGACCATCTATCTGCTCAGTGTTCATGTGTAATGACATCGCCCACCTTGGCATTCCTGTAAAATAAGGGTGGAGGGTGGGGTAGACAGAGTGGGAGCCGTAAGTTCATAAATTTACCCCAGACCCCTTTGCTGGCCATGTTGAGAATGAACTATGGGGATATGAGAACAAGACATGAACAAAGGCACCATCGGCTCAAAGGTCAGCCGTGGGGACATTGGGAAAGGGTAGATTCTAGATATAGTTTGCAGGGAGAATTCAATAGTCTTTGCTTACAGGATGGGGTTGGGGTGGATAAATGCCAAGTTCAAGACTTTGGGGTTGGGAGCTGGAACAAGGAACTGGGTGAACAGTCATGGGGGGGGGGGGTCAGGAATACCATTTTGAATATAAGAAGTTTCCCACAACTGACAGAGGGGCAGATGGTATGCCGCTGATGAAGTGGGCTCTTACAGGAGATGCCCCTGGCCACCAGTGGGCTTCCTTTGTACTTCAGGTTCAAGCCTGAGGCCGTGCTCTGGAAGAGGTGTTTGGGTAAAGGACTGATACATACAAAACTAGGAGTATTTGAGCAAGAGGAAATGACAGCATTTCTCATTGTTTCTTTATTAATAAGGAAAGATACACAAAGACTCGATAAAAAGTTACATAAAAGACTCAAGCATCAAAACATCTAGGCATCACTCTCGTTTCAGAGACAATGGCCACCAGCTAATACTGTCACTCAAAGGGCTCAGTGTTTCAAGTATCTGGCATTCTAGGGAAACCCCAGCCAATGTGGAGTTTCCACCCAGGTGAGCTTCTAAAGGAGGGGACCCCTCTGTGACCCTGGACTTCGTGTAGCAGGTCTGAGGGGCTTTGGGGTTGGAGCTGCCAGGGTTAGCAGGTCACATCTCCTGGCAGGCAAGACAGGCTACACTCACTGAATCAGGTATTCTCACAGCAAGAGCCATGGGGAGGTGGGACAGGAGGGGAAACATCCAGATGTCCCCAGTGTGGCAAAGTGCTTGGGAAGGAAGTAGCCATGGCATAGCCCCATTCTGGGGGGAGAGGGGATGGCTAGGGGGGAGGAAAGGAGCCTATAAGGAGGTGTCAGTAAGGGAGAAAACCTGGGCTCACAATAGAGGGGGAGGGGGAGGGGATTCCAGGGAGGGCGTACACCAGGGGATTTGATGGGAACACACATTTCTGAAACACCAGAGGGAACCTCAGAATGACAACTTGTCTATAGACCTAGAGGGTTCCCAGTCACCTGGTGTTGTGGCCAACCAGGTTTCCAGGCTGTCTTTCCTCGTGGGCTGGTGATGGAGGTGTGCTGAGTGTACCTTACTTGGCCTCTCTGGAAACTCTGTCAAAGGCTCATTTCTAACTCTGGAGTGTTACATATCCAGCTCATTTTCTGGAGAAGTGGGGTTCTGGGAGATGAGAGCTTACCAGGAGCCCTGAATAAGAGACTGTAGAAGGCCTGCCAGATGTTGGTCAGTATGGAGTCAGTTTAGAAGGGATGCCCTGGATGACAGGCCTGGATGCACCTCCTCTTCTGAGAGGCACAGGAATGCTGGGAGCCTCCCTTCTAGTTACCTGTGTGACTCGGGGCTCTGGTCTAGGCAACTGCTCTACTTCCAGTGAGAATTCCCACTTGACACAGTGGAGGTTGCTCCAGAGAGGCAGGGGTGTGCTGGTGGCGGGTGGCGGGTGGCAGGAGATGGGGCCTTTCTGGCAGTGGCTGCTGCCCTGAGTGCAGGGCCTTTTGCTTCTGCATTCTGTGCGGAGCTGGACCTCACTTCTATTTGTCCCACTCTCTCTAGGTGGCAGCTGCTGTGGGTACAGCTCAGCCTGGAGAAAGCCTGGTCCTTTTAGTGTTGAAAAACCATAGATACTATAGGATCCGGGATATGGTGAGATACCTCATCTGGAATGTTCTTTGGTATCCTTTCTAGGAACAGAAAAAGTGGGGCTCGGGGGAAGGCATCTGACAAGAAGTTTCATCTTTAGCTGCCAATCATTTCCCTCTGTAGCAGAACTGTCCTTTGGGCGGGTTTTCTGTGATGATGACCCTGTTTAGGACTTTCTGGGTGGGAAAAGAACCACGAGGCTGGACATCCACTTGGTGCCCCCTTGCCTCGGCTTTCTTTCCACGAGTTTCTTTCTCCAGAGTGGCCCAGCACAGTGAGCTGGCAAACGACCCCACTAGCTTCCGCCCCTCCCACAGGGGGCACCCTGGCTCAGCTGTTACCCCACTCAGATCCCAGCTGGAAAAACCCAATCTTTGCCCCAGCAGCAGAACCACAGGGAGGGTGCATCGTGGAAGGAGAGGGGTGTCCCTGATGGAATAAATGTGTGGATTGTGTTGTCAGCTCAACTCTCCTTTCCCCTTTGACCTAAGACAGAGAGGGCAAGGAAAGTGTGCACCAAAAGAAAGTCGTACTACTGATGCCAGGAGGGTTGTGTGCTCACGGGCTGGCCGCCGACTCACATGGAAATGGCTTCAGGCCCTGGTGCTTCGGTGATTACAGTATCGGGTGCTTTCAGGTCAGAGCCATCAAAGACAACAGCTTTCTGGATGGTGTCACTTTTACCTCCTTGAGCATGCCATGTTTGTGTCAGAGGCACAGCAACACACAGGATGTGAGCAAGCAAGAAGGAACACATCTGAGAAGCCCAGGTCCCTGTCGCATCTGAAGGCAGAATGTACCTACTGCCTGAAAAGCAAATGAGCACTGTGCAAAGCCAGCCACTCGCCTCACCCACTTTGAGGATGAGGAAATCCCTCTAGGGGTGCGATGGTCCCAGCTAGCTCTCCCTTCCATGGCGGTGGGGGTGTGGGCGTAGCAGTGAGGGCATTTCTACTCTCTGCATTTTCAACCTCCACATGAACCGTCTCCCTCTCTCCAGTCTCTGGGGCCTGTTTGCTTCCTGGGCTCTGCCAAGGCCTCCACTACCCTCCGCCATCTCAGTCATCCAGCCTGGCTGGAGTTTGGCACTGCTAGGAACTCTCGGTTAAAAAGACAAGAGCACTGTTCCAGACACTAGCTGAGAGGTCTGCCAAAGCCCCAGGCTTCACCGGGCAGTGGGCACAGACCTCTTTAATAAAATAATCATTACTCAAATAATTTAAAAATCTACAAAAGACACCAGAGCTCAGACACTGGGGATGGGGATGGACGGGGAGGAAACTTGTTCATGGCTTGTCTGGTATATCGGATGTGGATAAACACTTCCACAGCAAACCAGCCCTTTCTACTTAACAGAGACAACACAGCCACCAAGACACTGGGAACAGGGCTCAATCAACACGCAAAGGGCTTGGAAGCCGCTGCTCTCCTGGGAGAGGTGGCAAAGCCAAACCCTGTCTGCTCCTGCCCATCCTCCCTCGCTCCCTTCCTGTGCCCAGTCCAGAGCCAAGGGTTGTGGTTAGAAGTGATTCTCAGTGCAATTAGGCAGTGAGCTGGTCCCGGGGGCTGGCAGTTCATGGTTGCTATGCCCAGGGTTTCAGGCTGTCACAAGATCACACACTGAAGTTTGTGAGTGCCAGTGGCCCGGTCCCCTCGCCATTTTGCTTTCTTCTTTTTCTTCTGGCTTTTCTCTGGAATCTGTTGCCTGTTGAACAACGAAGGACAGAAAGACAAAGTCAGACCAAGCTTTTTCTCCTCTGTCCCCTCTCTGTGACTCCTGGGATGGAGGCAAGGCTGTGAAGCATCCCGTGTGAGACTGGAGAGGAAGGGGAGGGGAAACCAGAGCCACCTGACTGGAAATCAATGACAGTAGGTGTTGACTAGTTTATTTAGATCGTAAGCACCGTCGTGTTTTTCTATGTTTCATATTTCAGATTAAAAAAAAAAACTGGACAACTGAGTACAAAAGTCTTTTACATGGTCTCTGTTAACATCCCCTAGGTCTAAAGGTACCTTTGCTGCTACGGGTCCATAAGCAGTACACGGCAGCTTGGTGAGCACATCACTTGCACCAAACCCGACTGCCAACACAAACACGAAGTAAGGCTGCACCGAGGAATCATGATGAGATCAGGCTGCAGAGTGTGCAGGGATGTAGGCAGGGGTGTGCACGTGGCAGGGGACCAAGAGGTGGTCAACAAGGGGCACCCTTACAAGGTTAGATCTGAGTCACAGCCGACCAACAGGCTCTGAGTCACCCACACAAGGTACTGAAGACAGGGGTTTAACTGTTGGGAACATTAAGGGTTTAGAATACCCACTTGGTGGTGGCAGGGAAACCAGCCAGGAGGCAACTTCGGTCATCCAACATGAAGTGAGTAGGGTTTTAAAGGAATATTCAGGAGTCTGTTCTTGGGGCTGCTGGCACTTGAAAACCCACAGGCTGTGAGTCTGGGAACACACACACACACACACACCGTGTCTCTGAGCCCAGGAACCACAATTGGCTGTTCTGGGGCACAGCAAGGGGCCTGGTCTTTGCTGTGTGGGATATGTTGAAATCTCGGAATTCTGAGAGGACCAGGACCTCTGATCCTGCATGCCTGCAACCTCCACACCCAAGCCCATTATATCTGGGGGCAGTGTATAGTAGAGGTAAGGGAAGGAGGAAAATGCAAAGAGATACAAGAAATAGCAACCTAGGCTTGGGTCTGCCCAGGCTCCTGGCCTAGCACAGGATCTGTGTTCCTCCTATATTACAGTTGCAACATGGCTTGTCCCCTTCCACCACAGAGGCCATTGCCAGAGGGGGCGCAGCTGTCAGGGAGGGTACAACACTTACCTAATTACTCTAACGAGGTCATGGAAGGCTTTGTCCACGTTGAGAGGTGGGTCCTTGGCACTGGTTTCTATATACGGGATCTGGAAGGCAAAGCTCATATTGGGCACCATGACCACAAAGCCCTCTTGAACCTTTAAAATAGACTCTAGAGGATCTGAGGATTGGACAGAACCCCACAAGGCCCTGGGACTTCTTGCGTTGCAAGGCCAGAGAGTGTCACTAATGGCTTCTCTAACTCCTTCCTGTTCTCTAGTCACAGAGGTACTTAATAGTTCCCTAGGATAGAATCCAGATAGTCTTTTTATTCTCGGGAGCAAACTGCTACGCTTCCCACGCTGAGGCATACTGTGGTCCCCTTCATCCCTCTTTAGGGGTTGACCTCTGACCGTTTCCCTGGGCTCCTACATAGATGTGTCAACTTCAGACTAACTGTAATTGACTTTGCTTATTGCCTGTCTCCATCATTAAAGGTAAACACCAAAAGGCACGGAACTCTTGTTCCCCAGGACCCAGGAAGATGGGAAGGCAAACAGGCAAAACTAGCTTCCAGCATGCCTTTCTTTACAGGTAGGGTAGGCCAGTGAGCAGAGACAGGGCTACCTTGCAGCAGACTTTCCAGCTAGCAGGCCAGTGCACTATGCCAATATGGGGATGGGGAAGAGAGACGTGACCCAGCACTATCCAGAGGGTGAGCACATGGCAATGAACTCAGGAAGCTAACATGCTGAAGCGACCTCAGTGTTAATGTTTGTCAGGTGGGGACAATGACGCCTAGGGCTGCAAGGGTAGAGGACTTGATACCCATGCTCCCCCATTACAGTGCTGGGCACAGGATGGGCTCAGTGAACAGAGCAGATTGCCATCATTCAGCAGGTGCTAGCTCCTAAGCCAGAGAGCTACTACCTCTGCATGGCCCAGTGATGGCCATGTGCAGAGCAGCCCTCAGCCAGGAATGCACCAAATAACACAGCTTCTGGGCCTCTCTGAAGGAAGCTGTCCACCCCCGCCCCAGAGACTCTTATGGCTGCAGAGGCTGCTCTTTTGCTGGTCTGCTGCTCCTTTCAAATAATATCCTGTCGCGTTGTACCCTGTGGCCTCTCTATAGAGCCTAGTGCTCAGGAGGCAGCCTTAGTCCCATTTCCAAAGACCAGCACTGCAGGAAGGATGACATACAGACTTTCACACATAGCCCTGAGGCTGGAACACACACACACACACACACACACACACACACACACCCCTACATTGTGTTTGGTCGCCATTTCTTTTCCTTGCTCCCTGGTGATTTTCCTCAGGTGCATCAAATCCACCTTGTTGGCCACGAGGATCATTGGGAATGACTCCCTGGGAAGCAAAACAACAGCCAAGTGAGATTCATCTTCCTGCATTACCAACTCAAGGTGATGCCAACAGGACTTTGTGCCATGCCACCCCACAGGAACTCTCCAATGGGTCTCCTCGTTTCCAGAGGAGAAAAGAGCTTGGAAAGAAGGAGCTTGGAGTCCGTTGCAAGGCCAGGGTTGAGGCTGGCCTAAGGCTGTTGGTGAGGGGGTCTGGCTTCCCAGACACAGAGCTCTCCAATGCTCTGATACATGTAAAGCTACTGCAGCCCTCAGTCAGGGCTCATGAATAGCACCAGGGACAGGAGCTGGTACTGCACAAATGCCAGCTGCAAACTAAGGATGGCTTAGAGAAGAGGGAAGTACAGGATGGAGAGGCATGCCCCATAAGCATCTTACTGGCATGTGAACCAAACCAAACATCAGCCCCATGGCATTCTGAGCAATATCAGATATTTTCATAGGGGGAAAAATCCTGTGATTTGAAACTTGAAATTTGTAATTGAAAAATATGCTACCTTTTTATTTCCTTGATTAGCAAGTAATTTAAGACTTCCCCTACCACTGACCCACTGAGGACATCTTTTTTTGCGGTCCATATATATTCATGGGCTGAATGCACAACAACTAATCACAACTTGCTCTGCATGAGCTCGTCCCTCTGCCAGGTAAAGTTACAAGTCCTTTCCTGTGGAATGGTTATTGACTGGATTTCTCCATCTTTACTGGGATTTATCCAAGCTTGTTGTTCTCCTTCATTTAGTTTTTCTTCCTGCATTGTTTCTTTGACTGGCAGTGTGAGATGGGCTTTAATGAGTGACTTGTAAATCTTGTAGTCAAATGCAATTTAACCAATTTCAGTGTGTTCTGGAGAGGAAATCCACTTTTCTTTGCATATAATGCAATTTGGTTAAATTGGACTTGGAAAACAAAGACGTTACCAATGATTCCTTGATCGAGGGAGAGTTTATAAAATAGGAGGGGCATGAGCCTTGGAGCCTTGGGAGCAGCTTAGGCACCAAGAAAGAGTCAAGGGAGACCTTAGAGGAGCAATGGGGAGATCTGTAGGGGAGCGAGGGGAAGGGAGAGGGAGGATTGTGCTTTCGCAAGCCGGGAACAAGAACAGTGCTGCCCTCACCTGTCCTTGACACGCAGAATGAGCTGATGAAAACGGTCCACGTGCTCGAAGCTGGCCTTGTCAGTGACGGAGTACACGATGAGGAAGCCGTCGCCAGTTCGCATGTATTGTTCCCGCATGGCACTGAACTCCTCCTGCCCTGCTGTGTCTAGAACTGGAGAGGAATTAGGTCACTCGGGGGCTGCCCTTGATCCCACTGGAGCCACTAAAGACTGTAGAACCCCCAGGCTACTGCAGCTCAGTCTGAGCTGTCTGTCCTCCAGGGAGGACAGCAGCCACCTCAGACGCGGCTTCAGTGTAAGGATCTGCCTGGCTCATTTCAGCCTCTGTGCTCAGGGGACCACAATGCTATGGCCCAAGGACAAGCCTCACGAAGTCACAAGCCCCTCTGGAAAACCCCTGAGCTGGGCTTGGATTCCTGGTTTAGCCCTTACAAACCGGGGTTCTCTGGGGTGTGCCTGACTCTCAGCACCCCATTTCCTCCACCTGAGGCCTGCAGGTGGGGAAAGGGCCAAAGAAAGCAGCCCAGTCAGGAGGGCCTGTCCAAGCCCTGTATGGACAGGTACATGCAGGCCTTGAGAAAAGGACAGCCTCCAGGAGTCAAGGTCCACAGCCTAGGATGGAAGTGGCAGGGAGGGGCAGGAATCAGGTGTAGCTGGGGAGGTCACTGCAGACTCTGTCACTCTCATCACTCACACTGTCTGGTCCCCTGATGCTCACTCTTCCTTCCCTGAGATAGAGTACTCCTGTCTAGTTGACACCCAACCCCCAAAATACCTGCATTGTATTTGCACAATTAAAGGAGTATGCAGCCAGGCAATTTTGCCTATTAATTTAAGAAATATCCGAGCACTTACTATATGCCAGGCAGGCTGTAGGACTTTGGTTATAGGCTAAATGGGGTCAAAATCCAGTAGTGAAGCAGATAAGCAATTGAATGGCTGATGTAGCTTTACCAGAGGTAAATACTCTGTAGAAGGCTCAATCTAGTTAGTGGAAGGGTGGCTGCAGCCTTTGTTGTCATTCTGGATAGGTCAAGAAGGTACCTCCCAGTAGGTGACCTTTGAACAATGACTAAATGCAGGAGGGATCAGAGCCACATGACCCCAGGAGCAACATACTAGTAGAAGAAACACCCCCAAAATCAGAGGTAGAGGTGTGGCCAACAGCTGATGGGCTGGGGGCTGGGGGAGAAGGTCATAGAGTCTGTTGTCTTACACCCTTCCTCATCCTGCGCATGATGGGGTCCAGTGACAAATGTGGGCTAATACGTGATTCAGAGAACATTGTGAAAAGGCTAGTCCAATGCTAGGGGGTCAGGGGACAAGCCTCCACTGGAAGCAGGGAACTAGTTAGGAGGTCCATGGATAATTCAAGCAAGATGTGATGGGTGTGGCTGGAGCACAGTTGGGAAGAGCAGTGACAAGACCCTGAACACTTTCTAAGACTCAGCTGAACTGAGGATGCCACCGGGCCCTGAGCTCAGCAACTGAGGTGAAGAAGACAGTTTGTGGGGCTCAGTTTCTCACATGAGTTGCTGAGCCTGGCAAACTCCATGCAACACCTCAAGTCAGATCCTGAGAAGAAAAGAGGGGAGGGTAGCTGGGTGTTGGTGGCTCATGCCTTTAATCTCAGCACTCAGGAGGCAGAAGCAGGCAGATCTCTGTGAGTTCGAGACCAGCCTGGTCTACAAGAGCTAGTTCCAGGACAGGCTCCAAAGAAAGTCACAGAGAAACCCTATCTCAAAAAAAAAAAAAAAAAAAAAAAAGAAAGAAAGAAAGAAAGAAAGAAAAGAAAAGAAAGAAAAAGAGGAAAGGGGAGGGATACTCATGTATCCCTGTGGACAGGTGACAAGGAAGCCACAGAATGAGGAATCTGGGGACCCCCAGAATTCTACTTCTTAGGTAGCCTGGATTCCTCCAGTTCTACCTTTCTCCCTCCCTAAGTAAACCATACTCTAAGTGCCCGTCAGAAGTGGTATAATTGGCTTATGTGCATGGGACGAGATGAATGTGAGCAGAAGTCACTGTACTAATATTGTAGTTGATATAGTCAGACTTAGAAGCTACGTATTATCAAAAAAGCTAGAGATCATTCAAAAATTAAAGCTCAATCCGAATCTGAAAATAAAAGAGACTCCCCTGAAGCCCAACATGGTGGCACACACCTGTAATCCCAGCACTTGGGAGGTGGATGCAGAAGGAGTAAGAGTTCAAGGCCAGCCTGGGCTACATAGGAAGTTCAAGGTCAACCTGGGCTACAAGACAGTCTATCTTCAAAACATCAATAACACAAAAACCCTCTGGAAAGGGAAATACTCATATCTAACATTGCAGGAGCATTCCCATACTTTCTAAAAGAATTCTGGGAGAATGCAAATCATTAAAGTGAACACTAAGTCCAGGGAAGAGAAGGATGAGTGGCATTATAAATGGTGTCAGGTAGGCAAATATTTGAATAAAGATAACGCTTGTTGCTCAATTAGGAAGACTGTGGAAGCCAGGCTTGGTGGTTGGGTCTGCCCCCTCTGCTACTTAAGAGGTGGGAGGACGGGAAATTTAAGGTGAGATCAGGCAACTAAGCAAGACCCTGCCTCAAAATAAATGGGCAGAGGGGGTCTGGGATGCAGCTGGGTGGTAGAGCACTGGACAGGCAAGGGTGAGGTCCCAGGTTAGAGCTGCAGCAGCACAAATACGAAGCAAGAGAATGCGTGATAAGTTAGTACTAAAATCTATGATGATCTATGTGTGAGCGACGGGACCATGGAAAGGTAATTGGTTACAAGTCAAACAGACCTAACCAGCAAGTTCAACATCTGGAGGGCTCTGAAATGTTTTATTTCCAAATATAGAAATGTCTAAAATCTGAAGCAATTCTGAAATTAAAAAAAAAAAAATCTTGGGAAGAAAAGAAAAATCCTAGTTTAAATTTTAAAAATTATTTTTGTTTTGAATTTGTGTGTGTGTGTTGGTATGTTCACACGAGTGCAGTGCGCAGAGGCCAGAAGGAGACATCAGATCCCCTGGAGCTGAGGTTACAGGCTCTTGTGAACTCTCCATCATGAGTGCTGGGTACTCAACTCAGGTCCTGTGCAAGAACAGTACACGCTCTTAACCTCTGAGCCATCTCCCAGCCTCAATAATGCTGGTCTTAAGCGATGTCCTTATTCTGGCAATGGTGAAGGGATATTTAAGTCTGCCTGAAGTTTGCTTTGTCTGGGAAGAGACTGCAGATTCTGATTATGTCCTGATGCTGATAGAAAAACAAGTCGGCATGCTCTTATGTGTATACAATAGCTCTGAGAAACAGAAATAAAGCATTGGACTTCCTAGTCAATGCAAGAGATAAAGGGAGAACAAAGCATATTGGGACAATATGCAACAAGGCAAAAACAAACCTAATAAAAAGTAGCCATGAAACAAGATGGCAGAAATCAAAATTCCAATGGCATTCTGCACAGAACTAGGGGGGAAAAAATCCTAAAATTCACAGGGAGACAATTCTCAAAAGTAGAATTGGAAAGTGTATGTTGTCATCAACAATGGGGGAAATGAAAGTTAGGAGTTACCGAAATCCTATCTTCCTCCAGCCAAAATGGCTGTCATCAAGCCACTGGCACCAATGGCACCAAACACTGGCAAAGATGCAGGTACCAGGAGCCATACACACTGCCGTTGGAACAGAAATGGTGCTGCCACTATGAAAATCCACGGGGATTGTTCGAAAGGCTAAGAATGGAACAAGCCCAGCATGGCCCAGCCATATCAACCCTGAGTACATACCGGAGTGAGTCTAAACCTTTTCCGTACTACATGAAAGGCTGTTGTTTGCAGGAAAAATGGAAATAGAAACCATCCCCCTAAGTGAGACAAGGCAGATTCGGAAAGATGAAGATCACATTGTGCCTCATGTACGTCAGGGGTGGTGTCACACTCAGGAGACAGAGGCAGGGAAACTCTCAGTTTGAGGCCAGCCTGGTCTATGCCAGGAGATTCTATCACTCTGTGCGTGTGCGTGTGTGTGCGTGTATGTGTGTGTGTGTGAAGGAGACAATTGGGAAAGAGAAAAAAGCAGCGGGGGGATAAGAGAGGATAATGGGAGTAATTACATGTACATATGAAAGTGTCATAACAAGGCCCATTATTTTGTATGCTTTATGCTAATAATATTTAAATAACAATTACAGAAAACTATGAATGATGAAAACACATACAACCTGGCCTATCAATAATTGCATATAAAACTGAGGACACAAATGACTGAAAGTTATTATTCTTGGCCTGAGGAGACAATTCAGCCAGGAGGAGGTGACAAATCTCTGCTTTGACACACATACCTGCAAACACCTGGGACAGACCCCAGCCATGTCCTGCCACCCGGCCTTCCTAGGGACCCAGCTTATGCTCTCAGGAAAGTTAACTCTGCCTGCTTCCCCTGTGATGGAGAAGACAGGAGGCCTCTGGGGACAGAAAGTGGCACTCACTGTGGGGGAAGAGGTGCTCTGCCAGTGTGTGTGCAGACGGAGGCAGGGGGAGTCCAGAGACGGAAGACCCCCGCCAGCAGGACCACGTGAAACTGCTCTAAGGCCTAGTCCACGTGCCAGCACTGCACAAGTCTCAGGTGGGTGGGCAGCCAGCTCTGATGCCAGCCAGAGTCTCTGATGTCTCTGTCAAGGCTGCCTCCTTTCCCTCCTCTTCCTCTTTCCCTTCTCTTCTTCCTTCTCCTCTTCCTTTTCTCACTTCCTTTTCCCACCTCCCTCTCCCTTCTCCTCCCCCACTCCTCCCTCCCTCCCTCATCTTCATCCAGATGTGGGCCTGGTTCCCTGGATCCAGACTAGCTGTCCAGACTCCAAACACATGCTGACGCTGTGACTTCCAACTTGAAAGCCTAATTCCCCATCGTCCCCACGGTCCCAGCTGCCCTTTGCCCAGTGGCAGACCTCTGAGGAGGTCTCCCTCGTGGGAGGTCTCAGCGCCTGACTCCCATCTCTGACTTCCTCCCTCAGTTGTTATTCTTGTGCTTCTTTTTTGGGGGGGGGGCGGGCGTTGAGACAGGGGTTTCTCTGCATTGCTTTGGAGGCTGTCCTAGAACTAGCTCTGTAGACCAGGCTGGCCTCGAACTCAGAGATCCACCTGCCTCTGTCTTCCGAGTGCT